CTTTGTTTTGTGTTCAGGCTGAAAATGCCTTGTTTCAGACTTTGGCTGTGAATTTAAAATCTTTTTCTTCTTTTGGATTCCAAACGTTATCTTTTCTAGATGTCTTAGGCTTTCTTTTCCTCACCCTTTCCATTTTTTCCATTTTCTCCTTCCGCGTCTTGTACCCTTTCTGCTTCGTTAATTTTTCTAATTGCTTCTAGCACTAGGGTTCCAGTTTGATCTTTGTAAGGACTGGTGAGAAAAGACAAAGCTTAAATCCACATCAGAGACCTCATCCTGAAATCCTACCTATGTAAATAACTGCTCTGAAGAATGTTAGTAGTAGCTGGGAGCTTTTTCACATGGCTACTTGCACATTAATTCTACATAATATATCACAGTGTTCTGCTGCACAGAATTCTCCATATTGATGAGCACATCTGTTGGGTGTCTCCGTGGGAGCAATGAGGTCAGCATGAGCATGGACTCTGGATCATTTTCTCTCACCAAAGTTGGAAGCCCAACAGAGGGATAGGACGAGCCATCTAAATGTAGCATGTTAGCTCGTAGTGCTGTCAGCTGGCATGCCCATTAGTGCTGTACTGATATAATTAAACACATGTACAAATGGTTTTCATGGCTATGTTCATCTGAGCCATCTTCTGCCTATTCTCCCACCTCCATATGAGTTAAATTTGGAAAAAGAGGCATAACTAGTCCTCCTACAGGGTTTCTCTGAACTTCCTCCTCTCCCTGCACAGACAGTAATTTTTAGAGACAAACTATTAATTCCAGGGGGTGTTTTTTCCTCCCTCACTGGGGACTGAGTAAGGGTGCTAATGTGACAAGGATAGACTTTGTGAGAGCCTGGTTGCACTCACATTTTTGTCTCAGTCTCGGTGACTGTAAAATAAAAGTAATGGTACTGGCCTTCTTTGTAAAGCCTTGAGACGTCTACTGTTGTGATAAACTACTACATCGCAAAGCTCCACTTTGTTAATTTTAAATATCTTTGGGCCTGTTTCTGAAACCTCCAGGTGTATCACAGTGAGCCTGAAATACTGCCCTTTGTGTATGTTCTGCTGTGCTTACCTCACAAACCTCATTAGAGAGGCACCAGCTAACCCTTGTTCCCTCGTCTTAAGGCCAACAAATTCAAGCCTTCCTGGATCCTCAGAAAGAGCAACTTCCTGGGGCCATCGGGGCGCCCACAGCATAGTGTTAATTTTTCTGCAAATGTCACAGGCAGGGTAATTATCACTAGAACTTTGTTAAAACAGAAAGACAGATAATGCTATTTATTCATTAAAATTCAACAAAGAAAAAGTATCTCCACGTTGAGCCTTTGATGAATGCAGCTGTTTGTTTGAAAACAAATGTATACTTGCTAGAATGGGTTGATAATTAGAAATCTGAAGTCACGGAGCTCATGTACAAACTTGCTCTAATGAGGCGCTCTGACCATTTTGGGGAGTGGCACTAAGCTCATTTATTTCTGATTTTAAATAATTCCAAAAATCATCAGTAGTCTTGTAATTAGATCCAAACAGACACCTAGTTGTGTCGGTTTAGCCTAACAGGCTTTAATCAACAAATTTTTAATGATCTCTTGATACACGATTGCATCAAAGAAACTTTGGAGGACACAGATTTCCTTCGTTTGTAAACATCACTGGGCAACAGAATGAAAAATGTATTCTCTTTTTCTTTGTTTCTGTTTCAAGGGAGAAGGAGCGATTCCTTGGCTGAAATGGAATCTGAGTTTCCACGCCGCAAACCTGATGTTCCTCGCTTCACTGGAGGGGGCTTTGCTCTCAGCAGACCCCTTCCCCGAGTCACAGCTTAGCAATGGACTTACCCCATTCCCTTCCCCGGTTTCTTGCTAAACTCTGTGCCAGGCTGTTTGACAAACAAGAACTGAGGAAGAAGTTCAGAATCAACTTTCATTCTGAAATCACTCTATTGCTTTCAGAAAACGGCATTTTATGTTAGAATTAACCTACTTTTGGTTTAGAAACAGTGGACCAAATCTGCCTATGTGGTGCCATCAGAATCCTGTCCTGGTGAAAGTGAATAGTGGAGACCATGCTGATTTTTTTTCAACACTCTATCTCTTTATTAAGCACAGTAACACCACAAAATGCCTTAATATGTAGAGCTGTTTCCCCTTTATCTACCTCTGTTGTAAGCACTCACTTCATTTATCCTCTAAGTAAAAAGCACCTGAAAGAAATGAGAAAACAGAAAGGAAAAATTAATAAGCTGATGTTCCAAGCCCTACTGAGCAAATGCAAAATTAACAACTCTTTACTTAGATGTACACATGTAGCAGTTCTTTGTGCAGGTAGTATATAATTTGGTTTATTCAGTGTTTGCTACAGTTGTTTGTAAGATCAAGGAAGCTTGTGGCTGCAATGTGCATTATTAAGACTGAGATTCTGTTTACTCTGATAGACGCAGTGACATAATTATGTCTGTTCGGCTGGGGAGGCTATGCACACTGACTGGGACATGCTGTTCTCCCACATAAATCCTTCCTAGTGAGTTAAACTTGGACTCAAAACATGGCAAACTTTACTCTTTAATTTCTAGACACTTGGGCATTTTTGTAACTTTCAGAAATTGTTTTTGTAATACAGCGGGAGCCCTCCAACCTTTTCAGCCAAAAGAGATTTAATTACCATTCATTAACAAGTGAAATAACAAAGTCACGGCATGAGGTGCTGAAGTATAGAAAACTTTCAAGCTGTAAAATAAAATGTTTTGAAACTGATTTGTACATGGAAGCTCTTTCTCAGCCTGGGGGATAAAAATACTTGTCCAAAGAGATATGCTGATAAATATTTCACATGCACAAAAAACCCTTTGCAAAGATTTTGTTCTTTCCTTTGGTGGAATACATAATTAAATATTAAAGCTACTGTGGGAAACTTTTAATGGAAGTGTTTAATTCAAAGGAATCAAGTTAAATACGACAGGGATCTACTTTCCTTTTGCACAGGGGACCAGAACACTTAGTCATCAGATCCATTGTATTTTTCTTTTGTTCCCAAAATAACTATTATTGCTTTTTCTCTGTCAAGTGCCTTATTCCAAAGTTATCATTTTAGGGCAGTCATGCTGTCTGAATCGTGTCTTTTGTGTATCTGACATGTCCTAACTATAAAGTTAGGATAATTGAGAATAACTGATGGGTGCTTGAGTTTGATGGGATCCCAAGGAGGTTTTACTGAAGCTTTTAAAAGTCAGTATTTGTTAAGGTCCTGGGTATTCAGCCTACAGCTGGACTCTGCTATGCTTACTGACACTGGGAAGTAATTTGTACTGCAATAAATCAGTAAATTCACATTAATTAATTCACATGATTAAGAGAGAGACAGTTACTCTCCGAGAACACCATCACACTGCAGAGAAGCAACCGGTTTGTCACGCTGAGACGTGCAGCATGCCCCTAACTCAGCCAGAGTTTGGTATCAGGGTTTAGAAGACGAGCTGTCATGGTGGCTAGCAGAGGTCAGAACAAAGGAAGGGGAGCCAAACAGATGGAATACGTTCACTAATTTTTGTGAGTACACTAACAAGTGCACAAACAAAACCAAAATAAATAAATAAAGTGCACAAACAAAACCAAAATAAATAAATAAATAAGAAAATAATAATAATAATAATAATAATAATAATAATAAAAAAAAACAACCAAAAAGGATTGAAAAGAAATATACTTTTCTTATGCAACGTGGTCTTCCTGCCTGGAGAGCTAAGAAGCGAGTGCAAGAAATACCACCTGCAAAGTAGGGGAGCTTTTATTGTGTACATCCACAGTTTGGGGCATCCAGATTTGAATGCATTGGCTACTACCTCCACTTTTATTGTACTGTTTACTTACTACAGGGAAACTAAATTCACATGTTAGTTTGGGGAAAAAGACAAGAACATAAAGACATCAAATTGTTGCCAGTAACTTTCAGCATAATCAGGAATAGAATAACTGCAGCCAGCTTGATTTATAGTGCCAGAGAGTCAAAAATATTTCTGAGTTCATGTAATAGAAGGGATTAAAGCACACCAAATCCACCCCCTGGTCTATAAAAGTCAGGAGCCTGAAAAATCTCTCTGGATGCCTGTGAACCCAGCTGATGCAGCGGCGCTTTTAGTGTTCAAGGATGTGGCTCGCACAGCAGGGAAAGGCAGAGTGTTAATGAGAGTATCATTTGTTCAGTCACTTCTGCATTGTGAGCAGCAGCTCTGAAGTGCTTCTCAAAGTTATGTTGCAGATTGATATTAATTGAATTCCCATCCATGCAAGATGGAAGCCTAGAAGTAGCAAGGGTATCTTTAACTTCAGGTTCCTGCAAAGATATGTGATAAGATGAAGACGAAGGGCTATGATCCTGTAGCAGCTAAGTTAAAAGAAATCTTTCTTGACTTTAATTGGTTTGGATTGAAGCTGTAGTAGTTTGCACAGTAAATTTATCCTCTATCCTGGCACCTTTTTTCAGTAAGCAAAGTTATGCGTTCATTTGCAACATGTAGACAATATTTTAAGTAACTTCCCATATTACTGATCTTGTCTAGCAGGTGTGTTTTCAGCATATTATTTAAACGTGACAAAACCAATAAACTGTGCACTGAGCCATCCATTCAAAGGCTCAGCACAACCCTTCGGGGATCACCTGTTAGGCCTGACAGCACACGAAGCCTTCCTTTACCCTCAGGTTGTGGACTGAGAGCAGTGAGAGCACACACCACACACCCACTAACACGTCCTGCTGCTATAAGCCTGGGTAGCCCTTGAGTGAACAGTGGTGAAGAACAGGTCACAGCTCAGCTTCGTTGCATTGAGATCCACGAACTCCAGGTCTAGGGCAGGCTGGGAGAAGGTAAGGACTTGGCACCTGCAGGCAGGAGCTTTTACTAACACGGCAGGGTGGAGGGTTTGCCCTGAGTGGAGCAGCAGGTCCTGGGGCACTAATTGGCCTTAATGGCCCTGACCAGCCTCACCAGGGTCCAGGGGCTCCATTTAACGAGCCCAGCCCTGCTACTCTCCTGGAGCACCCAGCAGCAGGACAGAAAAACAGCTTTAGTGCTGTCTTTATAAGTCGATTAGAAGTGTGAGCTGCTGCTGCAGGATGGAGAGGGGTGGGCTGTGCAATAAGGGGGACTCCAGGTGCTGGGAACCCTGCTGCCTGCCCTCCTGGCTGCTGTGTGTGAGGAGCCACCGCAGAGCTGCTCGGCTGCGTGTCCTGGAGCCCTGTCTGTCTGCAGGTGGGTTGGCATTAACTGTGTGAGTCCTTCATGCCTTTGTCTCAGGCTGCTGTATCGTATCTTTTTGTTGAAGTGATGCTGTTGTGCCTCAAGTAAACTGCAGGAAAGAGGAGAGAGAAATAGGTCCTGGATTTACTCCTTATCCCCTGGATAAAGTTATGAGAGGATGAAGTTTGTAGGGGAGTTAAAAAGCAAAACCAGTTGGGCAGAAAAACCAGTATCTGCCACTTTTTTTGGAAACGTTATGGGTGTTTCTTGGAAGCTGGCTCATCCCAACTATCTTTATCCAAATTAGAGTCTCTAAATCATGTGTGTTTGTATTTAGGCACTTGAGCAGTTGAGTATTATTTCCCTAGCAGGTGGTTCAGCTGTTGTGCTATCCCCACTAGCAGAGTGTATTTTTAGTTTGTTTCTAAAAGCGGTAGCTTTGATCCTGATGCTCTTTCTCTTCTCCACTTGCCTACTTTTTCAGCAGCCCCATGCAGATCAGCCTGGCTCCTCCTGCTGTTCAGCATGCAGAGTGCTGTCCTGGGACAGTCCCATAGGCATGCTTGAGGAGCTTCTCTTCCCAAAAAGATGAAGCTGTGCCCATGGCAAGTGTGGGTGTGAAGGCTCAGGGCAGGATCTGCAGGCTGTGCTGTACGTGGCTGAGGCTGGGGACCTGCCTGTGGTGATCTCCTGTCTATGGGATTAGAGGTGTTGGGAGCTGAGAGAGGTGCTGGGCTAATGGGATTTCACAAATATGGTATTTGTGAGATCATCAGCTTGCCTAACATCCAGAGAGAAAAGAAGGTGGAAGAGTGGTTTTAAAGGCTCTTAGTTTTGCAAGCTGGATCTTGGTGGATCTGTGCTCACCTGGCCACCCTGGAGGAGCCTCCTTTTCTTGTGGTGGGTGCTTTAATCTGCCCAGGTGTGAGATGGATTCAACAATTGTGCTTTCAGTCAGCCCTGACTATTTAAACTTTCCAATTCTTCACAGCAAGCACCATTTTTCAGGGCTTTTTCTTGGCAGAAGACTAAGTAGCAGTAATTTAAAGCCATTTTAATCTGAAATGAGAATCTCTACATGGGGTTTGAATGCACTTCAAGTTAAGTATGTGTTTGCAACTTTTGTTGCTCCCTCTTAATTTTCCGAGTGTGCCTGTAGAAACAGGGCATGTTTGTGTAGTGGCAAAACATTGGGATAGCTCAGCCTCCCTCAGATCTGTGGGCTGCAGGGTGATAGCTACAAAAATAGTAGGGGAGAGATGTATTTGGTATTGGTGCTGAAATGTAGGCAATTAACCTACATCTAATTTCTCACCTTAAAAGAAAAAGGTGGTCAGCATCTGCTATCTTGCCTCCTCAGGAACACCCTGAAACTTTATCTCGAGTACAGAGCATTTCTGGAGGAAAAATGCATGGTTTATTTAACTTTTTTAAAAAAATATATTTCTTTCCAAGTGCTGTGCCCTGCTGCCATGGGGAACCACAACTTTCTGGGACCACTCTGACATCTGTGTGATCAAAAGCAGTGATGCCAGAAGTTCTCCTGCGGCAGCTGAGCAGCAGGAACTGACCACAGGCACGTTCCTTGCTGGCCCCGATTGCAGGGTAAAACATGTTTGCTTAAACCACCTTTGTCACAATAAATGAAAAGGTGCCCGAAGCAGCAGTTTAAACAGACCTGCTCTGCCTTGCAATCAGGGCATGCTAGGAGCAAACACGCATTCAATTCCCACATTTATCCTGAAGGGTGGTAACTCGCAACTCTGCGAGCATCCTCAGAACTGCTTTTTTTTGCTCTGCAAACCTGTGCCCCCTCGCAGCCCCTTACACAAAGGGTGAGCAGCCCTAGCTGGGGCTGGCCAAGCAATACTGCTTTCTCATTTCTGAGTCTCTGTTTGAGCTGCCTCATCCCTTGTGATTTCTGTGTTATCGTTCGGATGTATTCCCTCCTGGCAGGTTAGGAAAACTCATCACTGGAGTTTTATTTTAACAGAGTGTACAAAAAGTCTTCTAGAAATTACCAGGTCCCTTGCTGATTCAGAAGCTGTAGAGGAAAAAGACAGGAAGACATGAAATGTCTCAGACCAGCCTTCTTTATTAGCCCTGCGACACTTTATTTGCTTAGTTGTGAGCTATTTGCTAAGTCCCGGTGCTTGCACCAGTCACGAATTTGGAACAGCTTCAACAGTAAGTTTTTCTTGCCAAAGTTCTCCTCCAAATTCCTTAAAGCAGCCTCTGTTTTAGTTTGGTTTTGGAGTGGATCCTGTTGTTCTTGTTGCAGAACTGGGTGTCTCGATCGGTATGCAGAGCAGCAGACGTGTCAGAGCCATGTGTATTAACTGCAAGGAGCAAGCAATTAAGTGAACTTCAGTTACACAAGTCAACTGATCTCTGCTTGAGTACATTAGCTGAGGATTTAGCGTATTTCCATTTGCATCTAATCAGGTGCAATTCCTCCTTTGCTTTTAATCTGATGTGTACTCACTGGATCTAAGTCTGATTTTTATTTTTTTTCTTTTCTTGAACCTTCAGTGTTAATATTGAACCTTGATGGCAAACAAACCATTCCCATGCCAATTGTTGTCCTCTGGTCAGTCATACAGGACAAGCAGCCTGATGCTCTGGATGGATACGTTGGGGTTGTACTCAGAAATGACGGCGTTTCTGTCTTATGGGAGTCTGGAGGCTCTTGTGGTGGGGTTTCTGGCTGGCCTAGCTGTGGAGATCCCTGGAGGATCCTGATCAGGCACTGAGGGAGGATGGTTGTGTGAGCGATTATTTTGTTGGTAGTGAGGCAGTGTTTGAACACTTATTCCCCTTCATCTCCACAGCTCCTATTCCACCATCGTGATACAGGGCAGGTTGGTTAAAATGCCAGGGTCTGTGGGCAAGATGCTGTATTTTGTAACCCCTGGAGAGACCTCATATTTCTGTGGCAGGCCTGACTTCTGCCCCTCTCCAAGGGGGCAGGTGGCTGTCCCCATAAGGCACCAGCTGCCCCATGTGCCTGGCTCTGCTGTGAGGCCTGGGGGCAGCAGGGGCTGAGCTCTGTGCTCCCACCCAGCCCTGCAGCCTCTCCCCACAGTGGGATGCTGGTTTGGGATGCTTGTGCCTGGGGCCAGGCGCTGTGCTCCAGCTGCTTGTGATTTCAGAGCTGTCAGTCACACACCCTTCACAAGCACTAAAATTCAGATCAGGCGCTATCACTGGGAATTACATGCCAGCATCACTTGTCTGATCAAGAGCTTCACCTTGTGCTCCCGGGGGAGGTGTCTTATAATTTACTTCAGGCTGAGGGATTTTTTTCCCCGTATCTGCTTTATTGCAAGCTGGCAGCACACTCCTGAAGCCACATGCTGCCCGGCATATCTCCCTGCCTGTTTCCTTTGCTGGCAGCTTGTGGATTTCTGCTGGACTTTGACCTAGTTTTGAAGCTGAGGCCTTGCTTTCTTTACCCACTTATTTCATTGCTCTGGCAGCTCCGTTTCCCCATTGCCACCCCGTGTCCCATGCCTGGGCTGCTGACATGGGGGGTGCCCCCCTCCTCTCCCCCAGCTCCTCGCTGCCAGCTCAGAAGATGGCTCTTGTCTAGGACCACAGGATCCCAGTGCCACCAAATTGTCCACCAAGGCTATGGCCAAGCACTTGAGCAGCCCTGCAGGGTGATGTGTTCAGTCACGGGTCAGAGGCTTTCCCAGTGTCCCATCTGGCCTGGTGAATCTTCAAAACCTGAGCTTTATCTGCCCTTCAGGGTGCCTGGGGAAACCTGTGCACCCACTGTCCTTTGGCTGAGTGATCCTCTGGGTGTTAGAGAGCACGTGTGGTGCCAGGCATGGAGGCCTGTAAGGCTCTGGAACCTTCTAAAGCCAGACAAGGAAGCGGGCCAGTACCACCATGCAGGCCCTGTAACCCCGCTCAGGAGAGGGACCTGCAGCGCACCTCAGGAAGCACGAGGTGACTTCTGCCCAGCCCGTGGTGAGGGCTCCCAGACACAGGTTCAAGCTGTGTGGGATCCCTGTGCAGGATCCAGGCCTCTTTGACCATCTCCTGGATCTTCAGCCACAAAGAAAGGCCTCCCTGCCTTGGGGTGCAGAGCTGAGAGGTGCCTCACAGCCAGCACCTGAGCTGGGGCCTGCATGGAGCATCCTGGCCCCAGGCACTTTTCCTTTTTGACTTGCTCACGAATCAAACCCGGTTTGAATGCAGAGCCTCAGGCCATCTCTGCCTCGATTCAGATCTTACAAGCATAGCTGCAAACCTACCAAGAAGTTTTTCATGTGTCTGCTTTCTCTGTGGATTCAGTGCAGAAAAGGCCACATCTAGGTGAGATGCTTCATCCTTTTTTTTTTTTTTTTTTTTTTTTTTTTTGGGATCTTTTCATCTAATACACTTGTCAAAGGCTTGCAGGCAGCTGCAGCTCAAATCACTCTGTGTTTTCTTGTGATTGCTTTGCCTGATAGCGTGGTGAGTATTTGCATCTACTCAGTGCATGATGGATGGTTGGATTTGTGCTGTACATTGCAGTCCAGGGGTATAAATGTATTTAAGTAACTTGCTCAGCTTAAACACCAGCACTGTCTGCTGCTCCCTAGTCAGCATCATGGGCAGAGAGAGAGAAAATAACAGCGGTAATTGTGGTGATGGAGTGTCACTGGCAAATAATATGAGCACAAAGACTGTTTCCAGAGATGGAGTATGACTGCTCTGTAACTCCTATTGAGCTTTTGAGGGAGGACAGACTGAAGACCCCATTCAGAAGCATGGAAAGTGTGAAGGGCTGGGAGTCTGGGCAAAAATTAGTACTTGATAAGAGTATAATTCTATATTAACAAAAAATTTCACAAAGGCAGGGAGGGAAAGAACCCTAATTGTCAGAGATGCAGTGACCCCAGGAGTACAAGTGGTGGAACTGCTCCCAGAGCCCAGTTCAGCAGTGGGGATCAGCAGCTGCTTGGCTCACAGGGCTGCAAGCCCAGCTGAGGGCTGGGTACGAGCCACCACAGTGGATTTAA